TAATAGCTCACCACATCTGGTATGTAGCCTGGCTCATACAGAGCTTTTAAATGGGCAGCTGAAATGCTATTTGGCCCAACACAGCCCAGTAAGGACTCCCAAGGTTGGTCTGTAAATAGGGTATGTATATAAAAGTCATCAGCACAATTTTAAAAGGGTAAGTATATATGTGATACAGAATGTGCACCCTTACCAGTCATGTTGAATCATACGATAAAAGCTGGAAAACAATAATATACAGTAAGTACAATAAGTCCATTAGGAAGCATTTCTGTTAACAATTAAAAGGGGCTATGTAAGAACTTTTTTTATGGCTTTCCCTGACTTCCTAGGTTGGCTGTGTAAGCCTGTAGACTGATTTTATGATTTATCACCCTTTTTTGAAGGGAAAATCCAAAATGAACTATCACAAAAGTGTAATTATATTGACGATCATCTGTCAACATAATGTCGATAAATTATGTTCAGTTACTGTTTTGCCCAAGACGAAGTCACTTATGGAGTGTGTGCACAAGAGCGAGGGCGAGCAGTTTCTAGCTGCAGTACACTTAATGGCTGCCGGTGTTGTTAACATCAAGGGTTAGTGGAAATAACACATAAAGCCTTCAAGATTGAAATAGAAACGTGGGTTAAGCTAATTAATTATATAAATTAGGCAAAAGTATCCAAATAAATTTACCAGACACTAAAATGTGACTTCATTGCACAGTGCAGCAGAGCTAAGTTATTTATCCTTAAACTAAGTATTAATATTTACAGTTACATTACTGTAACGGTCACCAGGTGGAGTGCCCTTGAGAGTCACCAGAGGGCACTCCACACCAGATGTTCATGTTTCACTCACAACTACATTTCCCAGAACTCACTGCCCGGACTCATTATCACTGATCGCATTCACCTGTACCTCATTCACTGATTGCATTCACCTGTGTCTCATCCTGTTAGTCTGTCTATATATACCTTGTGTTCACATTCACTGTTTGCGAAGTCTTGTTGTACTGTGTGTATGCATTTCCGAGCGTTTTCTTATGTTTGTTTTTCTGTTTTTGAATTTGGATTGTTCTTGGATTTTGATTATTGCTGCCTGCCCTCACCTCTGCCTGTTTTTTGGATTCCCACTGTGTATTCTTCATTGCCCTGTCTGCTGATTCTCGACCCTGCCTATATGACTATTCTCAATTAAAGCTGCATTTGGATCTTCATCTCCAAGTCTCGGAGCAGTTCATAACAATAACAGTAGCACTTCCTTCAATACAAAATATTAGATTTAGATTTAATTCATCACTGTAATAAGTAAAAAACAAACAAACAAACAAAGATTTCAATTAACTTTTAATTTGATTAACTACAGTAGAAATGGTATGTTGGAGAATTTTGCTTAAAATGCTAATTTATGGGAATCATGAATAGTCCTGGATCAACATTAGTGAATCTACCTGTATTGAACTGACAATAATGGTCCTCGAACAACATTAGCAAATCTACCCCATATTGAAATGATCATGATATTCTTGGATCAACATTAGCGAATCTACCCCGTATTGAACTGAACATGATGATCCTGGATCAACATTAGCGAATCGACCCCGTATTGAACTGATCATGATGGTCCTGGATCAACATTAGCGAATCTACCCCGTATTGAACTGATCATGATGGTCCTGGATCAACATTAGCGAATCTACCCCGTATTGAACCGAACATGATGATCCTGGATCAACATTAGCGAATATACCCCGTACTGAACTGATCATGATGGTCCTGGTTCAACA